GATCTAAACTTTTCAAATTCAACTGCCGCGCACGCTTGTGCAGTGCATACGATCACGTCGAAGTTTGCAACTTGGTACTGTGCTAACTCGAAAACTTGTCGGGAAACTGTGGCTGAAATTTTATCAGTATGTTTGTCGCCCATGCGGGAAATCGTATGCCTGAAATGAGTACCTAATTGCACTTGCGCCACGATATAGGACACTTCGAAGATACTTGTAGCGAAGTGTATATGTCGCTTACCGGATAAGCTGAGAGACTGAAAATTTGCTGGGATATTCTACTTTCAAGTGCGGGGTTCTGCATGGGAGTGAAATTCCCTGCAGATGAGCATGAGAAATGCCCAACGTCACCGAAAAACCAGAAGCGAGTGCGTTTTGCAACGAACGACGACCCTCATCCAAATATGTAAATGAGCATTCGGTTCATTTGCATACTTTGGTTTTTAACGAACGAGCAACATTTTCACTTTTTAGTGAACTGGAAATCTGCATTTTCTCAAAAAATTTGCATTTTCCATTTTTTCAAAAAGCGAGCATTTACCGGAAAAAAGGCCGGGCTTCATGCAGAGGGCTAGTAATCATCTACCGGGAGGTTCATGCTGCCCTGTAATGCAACACCTTCATCCCAACTGACGCCCTTTCTCCTGCATGCCGGAGGAGGCCAAAACACGGCCAGTATGAGTCCAGTTGTTGGGCTGCAGCACAAGGACCATTCTTGCTATTAGCGACTTGCGAGTTTAGTGCAAAAACGCATGATCGCACCGGCAAGCCCGGGCGCATTCCACCTTGGGTTAGTACCACCGTCCATTTATATCTGTCTTGTGTTTTGAACGTTTGCAAAATTTATATAAATTTTGGTAAGAAAGCGATTTCAGGCAAGCCAGAAGCTGAAACTTAGCAGGACATCCTGTGGCCTCCTGTAAGTCGAAGACTTTAATTCAGTTTGAGCACATTCGCACATAACGTATACGGAGAAGTCAAAACTGCGATTTTACAATAGCTGGCAACACGCCAACTCTCGAACTAGGCTGAAATAGGACGTGTGCCCGTGTATACGTGTGAGCCCGTACATATGAAACAGGCATCCGCACACTCGTGTATCACGCATAATAGCACGTCGAACTATTTGTGGGAGAAAAACGATTTCGAAAGCCAGCTAAGCTAGGAAGCTAATATCTCCTGGGATATGATGATACACGCCAGGAACACCTGAGATTCGTCTTAAACAAGTCCAGATCTTGAGTATGCGTGGATGGCACTTCCAACAAAAGCACTATTCCGTTGATTCCCTCTGTCTTATGTCTGTCATGTTACTACTCATGCATGAACATGTGAAATTTGATGCAACTCCGCAACCACAGCAGCCTGGCCCGGGTCGGTGCTACAGCAAGTGCACGTGGCAACACTCACGCACGAACACGCGAAATTTGACACAACCCTGTAACCAAAGCATCTAGAGGGTTGGACTTTTTGGACATGGACTGGAAGTCATTGTAATAATTTCTAACACTCGTGGTGGCTACTCTCAATTTTCTTAGCTAGAAGCACCTGTTGGAAAAGACAATGCCGTTAGCGACAAAGACCTGCGGGAGAATCTGTGCAAAAAACGCATCTTTGCAGCAACACCCGGAGAGGTGTCGACTAAGTTTATTTTAAAAACACAAAACAGCTAGGGAGTAAATAAATTGTCCAAATGGTACTAAAAATAGTGTGTCCACAAAAATGCACATTGTTCTTAATCCAAAGACTGTAAACGCATAGAGAGCTGATAAAAACAATACTTAAAACCCATACCACCCTGGCATGGGGCACAGAAGCAAAAAAAAGATTCTTGAAACGGTCATCGCACAGTGCTCGAAGGAAACAGGCAAAGCAGTTCACAATCTTCATGTAAGACATAAGATGGAGGGAATCAACGGATTACATAGCATCTTCTGCAAAATACTTTAATAACAAGCGCATTTATCCCATTAACTGAGCGCTCTGTTACTTATTCACTACGTATGATAAACAAGCACTTTACAAATTTTCATTTCTTTTTTGCTTTGCCTCCTGCACGAACATTCTTCGGGAACTGTTCCGGCTTTAGGCCTTTCACCGAATAAAGTCGTGCTGCTCGTTCTGCCAATGAACCACCACACTTCAGACCACGCACTAAACGAGAACAGCAATAACTTTTACAAGTCTCTACTTTCACTGTCAACACAGTCGACTCTCTGCAGCAGATAATGCTTGGCTTTACGATAGTTTCTTACTGATGAGACTGTTAAAGTTTTCCCTTCTAAGAACAAACCAAAAAGGAAACGGATATGACTGGCATGGCCTATAAAATCACCACTGAATGCAATATCAGAGAAAAACTTAGTTACCCCAGAGACATAAAAACGAGCACTGGTCGTGCATGCCAGCATACATCGTAATAAAAAAAACGAATGTCTCTGTGGTAGCGAAAAGGTGTCATTCTTTTAAAAACTAAGAAAGACGTAATAAAATAAAGAAGCAAAGCTAAAACCTTCAAGAGCGTGCTTTAAATGGTCAAGTCCCAAATGCTGCAAACTCTCTGAGCTGTTGTAATCGTCCAGATTGATATCCTCGAACACGATGGCTGCTTTCTCACTTGACTCGCATTTTCGGGGAATTAACGGGACTGCAAAAAAACTCCTCTCAAAGTCAAGAAGTTCCCAATGGGCGACAAGTCTGAACACACGAGACAAAACTTTTATGCATAAATCATGCCTGCAAATTTCAAAAATATCTGCACAGCAGGCATACATTAAAATGACTAGCATCGTGCATGTCGAGCGAAACATGTTTCATACAAAGCCCTTTGAAGCGGCAACAGGCAAGCGTTGCGAGTAGCTCGCATGAGAAACAAAACGAACACCCAAAACAGTTAAATCTCGTAACAGGGGTAACCGCGCAGATGTATGGAGCTATTCAGCACAGTTGCATTCGATATGTAAAACTCAAAACGACTGATCCTGGCGGTGAATGCAAAAAGTTCAGATGACTAAACGTCACAAAACCAACGGCTTATGGATAAATTTCAGCCGCTCAAGATCCAGAAAGCGACACTCTTTTTTTGTTAACAGACCCACAGTTTCCAGCAAAGCCTTACAGCGTGCCTAAGTGGCAGCGCTCGCGGCATCAATCAGTTGCACCCTACAAGCACTACCCATTATAACTAGATAGGACAAAAAAAAAAAAAAATAGTGGCGCGCACCACAGTAGCCGGTGCAATCATGCGTTTTACGCAGTCCCATCTAGCGAACGTTTGTCTAGTAAAAATATAACTGTTTTTCGCTTTCATACGTGGAAAAATGGTCGATATGCTGTTTGACTCCTAAGATGGGCAATTTCCCACTGAAAATTTCACGTGCCGGTAGATGAAAGCTGAATTTGAAAACACGGATGGGGAAAATCCTTCCAAATTTCAACCTCATATTTTTTCGGTTTCCGAGTTAGTGATTTCCGCATTAAAACTCTCACGCGGTGGTACGTAAGACCTTCGCATACCTGGGAGCTATATTTGAGTTTATGAGGTATCTGCACAGGCAGAAAACATTCTTCTGAAATTTCAGTCTCACAGCTCTTCTGGTTCCCGACATAATAATTTTTCCCATTAAAACTTCCGTGGAGCTGCACATGAAACTCAAACGTAAATGAAAGCTAAATTTAATTCTGCGAGGTCGCTTTCCCCAAAAATTTCAACTTTCTATTTTTTATGATTTTCGAGATAGTAATTTTTTTAGTCGAAACTTTCACGGCGGCGTTACTGAGATGCAGGTTTGACTGAAAACTGATTTTGAATTTACGGGGTTCATAAGCGAATCCACAGGGAGCGAAGGGGGCGAAGGTTCTTTGGCAAAAGTATCCGTGCTGCAAAAGTTCAGGCCAGTTCATAAATAAAACTAAATTAACTCTAAACAGCAGAGCTACAACTCTAATCCTAATTTTTGCATAATTCCAAGGTGGGAGGGGTCCCCCTCTCTCAGCCCCCGTCGCCCCCTCCCCGCCCCAACAGCTTAACCCCCTCATCAGTGCGTCTTGGATCCGCCTACGATGGGGTTGCACGTGGGAAGGAAACATTCTTGTTAAATTTCAGCTCCCTAATTTTCATGGTTCCCGGATTATTTTCCTGCCAGTACTTTTACGGGGCCATACGTGGCACCCAAGCGGAAAACTGGATTTACATTTTCTGAGTCGCACGTAGGCAGGGGACATACTTATGAAATTTCAACTTCCTAGCTTTCGTGATTCCTAAGATAATAACTTTTCCCTTTAAAAATTTCACGGGGGCGCACGTGCTACCCGCAAGCACGGAAAGGTTGAGTTTAAACCTTCTGAGCCGCACGTGGGCCACGGACATACTCATACAATCTCAGCTCCCTCGCTTCCGTGGTTCCCGAGATAATTTTCCCGCCAAAACTTTTACGGGGCTGTACGTGTTACCCACGGATACGGGGAAGCTGAATTTAAATTTGCGGGGTCACACGTTGGAAGAGAACACTTTACTAAAATTTCAGCCACCTAACTTTTATGGTTCTCGAGTTGAAAGTTGCGGACAAAATCTGGGACACAAACACACAGACAAACCCGCGACAATAAGCGCTCTGTACTGCTGTTACACAGCGTAAAATGCACAAAATGGAGAATGCAAAAATCTGCTCAGCTCCAAATACGCAAAAATGCCGTAAAAACATACTCGATCTTTCTTCGTTGTCGTTTTTCAGATTTACTGGCGTTATGTCATTGGTCGTATCGTCCTTAGCGTTCGTCGAATTGACCGCTGCGACCGCAGATGTGCCACAACTAAACTATTCGAAATTTCATTTTTACACCAAAGTGACCACAACAATACGCCCGTCACCGAGAAAAAATGATGCAGAAAATCACGTCATATTTCGGACGGATCCAAAAAGCCATACTGTAATGCCAGTTGTTCAAAATATCACAGCAGACGCGCCTCTTTTACAACTTAAAGCATTATAACGAGAATGTGAAACACGATACTGATGAAGGCAAAGGATGCTCGGCACAAAGGCAAGTACGACAAAGCAAGAGATGAGTGCACTCCCTCCAGGCAATCATATTGAATACAAGAACTATCTGAGGATCCAGGAAGAGGAAGTACAAAAAAGTTCACCTGTGATCTTCTAGTTTTGGCCTCTTGCATTCCGCAGTATCGCTTATCTGCTTTCTCTTACTCCCATGTCCAACAACTACATCATCTTCTACGGTCTTCACAAATTCCAGTTTCGGAGGTCTTAGTTCATCTTCCTTGCAGCTTTTCAGACCTTTGACAGCAGCAATTCCTTAAATTCAAGCAATATCATTCTTCATGAAACAGCTTTTTGCAGAATCAACAAGCACATCGAAAAGCGTCGCATTTTCCGTCACAAAACCTTAGCATTTCAAATCGGTATCCATCATGGCTACATGATACATAATGCAGTTTGCCAATACTTTAAAACGGTACAGTGTGAAAGCAACATTTTCATGCCAGTCACATAAACATTGCTCAAAATCCAACATTCGCATCGATCATACCTGCGCCAAGCTTAAGCGCTGCATACTAAATAAAAATGCAATTACCAGCATCAAATGCTTCGTCGGTTTCCTCCAGGATCTTCTCCCGTGTTTCGATGAAATTCGGGTCATTGAAATCATGTTTTGGTGGCCCCGACTTCAATTTTTCGTACTTCTCTTGCCTTAAAACATGGCATAAGAAAAAATGGGACTACAAGCAGTAACAATATCATAAAAAACAACAGATTCAGCATGCCTGATATCTGCCCAAAGAAACCACGGAAAAAATCAATACGACCAAACCTTCGCCGGCGTTTCTCTTCTTCCCTCTCCCCTGCTTTTTCAATCCACTTGCGCAGCTTCTCTTCCTCTTTTATATCAACAAGTCGTCGGCCGGACAAATCGCGGCACATTAGCTGATTTGTAGAACGATGAATCCGAAATGAACGAAGCAACGAACCAAATCCTGGTGTACAAAAACCGGTCAGTGCTTCTGATGAATCAGGGAGACGCTGTACACTTCACATTTTGTCCACTACACACCTTTTAGAAACGGGCCTTGGAAAATAATATGAACAAAAGGACTACGCACTTTTCTGTCGAAATGAAACTGCCCTGAAAAATCTTCAGGACAGACCCCAAAAAAGAACGAAACCACGATGTCTGATGGCAACAACTGGGGCAGAAACGGGAACTAAAGGTAAAATGGCGAATAAAAATGAAGAATTTGCAGACTCCAAAATACTCGGCATAATGCAAGCAAAGAAGTTTCTCGGCCGTTAACGGTTATGAAAACAGCCAGTATTATCTGAAATGTCAGGTTTGTGGACCGAATACCTTACCGATCCGTAACCCAAAGACCAATCCCCACGTGGCCCATCGGGTTAACCCATGGATTTAGGAATACTGTACGACACTGTGGATGGAGAGAGGCAAACGTATCATCACAATCTCTCAAGACGATGACCAATGCAGCTAATCTCACGAAATGAAGATTTCGAAATGGCTTAATGTAAAAAACATACCTCCTTTTCCCGCGCGGAGTCTGAAGTGAAGCTGAAATGGCGTTCCATCCCCCACACTTCTCCAGTCCACAACTTTGCCATCGACGGTGACGTAGAACGAATCAGCGGGTAAAAAGTGGAGCCAGTCAGCCGAGAGGAAACTATTCGATGCAAGTATATCCTGTGGATGCATTGAAAGTGGAAGAGTGAAATCACTCAATCCTAAAAATGGCACATATCTTACACGATAAGAAAAACCCAAACTATCGAGCTGCTCCTGCTCTGCGAGAAGTTACACGAATGCCCAAATTCACAGCTGTCGCTGAAGAATTTTGAAATTTTCGCATAAAACATTCCATTGCTCCTCAGCGCCATCAACAGTGAGTAGCAAAAATTCAAGTGAAGCCCTGCAGAAGGAGCATCGGATTGGAAAGCACAGCGCGCGCAGCCAAAAGCACAGACACCGGAAACTCGCAAGGCACAGCAATGAAGGCCAAGACTGTGTGACGCACTTGGCACGCGGGTAGAGCACACCACAGTCCGAAGACTCGCTTTCGCAACAAGCAATAATTGGCCAACACACGGGCTGCCCATGCGAAGATGCGTTTTTTGCATAGTTCCCCGCAGTTTCTGTCGCTATCGGCATCGCTTCTTTGGCAAATCCTTCTAGCTAAACAAATTAAAATTGGCGGCCAAAACTGGCAGGAAACACCCCCTTAAAATTTCAGCTCTCTAGCTTTCTTGGTTCGCGAGATATGAATTTATGCGGGAAAAATTTTGGCGAGCCTGTGCGCGGGTACCACGCTTATTCGGGGATTGGGTTTGAGCTCATTAGTATATACTTAGACGGGGAACATTCCCTTAAAATTTCACCTAGCTTTCCTGGTTCGCAAGTTACCAACTTACCCTAGAAAAATTCTGGCGGGCTCTTACGCGGGTAGGACCTTTCATTTTGGGGATAAGGCT